AGAAATCTGTTTAAAAGTCATGTAACTTCTCCACTACTTCTGTGCCAGCTTCCTCTTTAGAAAACAGCAGAACTGTGATTGGGATCCACCTTGGAGAGGATCAAGAAAATTCAACCCTTTGGCAGTGACATGCTGACATCAATTTGTGCCAGAGGCTACAACTCCCTGAACTTTTCATCCACTTCTCTGGATGGCTGGGTGCTCCCACTTTGTCTGCCCCCTGTTTCACCCTGGGTGCTGTTCAGGACCTGCCCAAAATGGGTCCCTGGGGCTGGCCTGGGCTTACCCCCCAGCTCTTGGGCGAAGGGACTGATAGGCTTTCCCCATCCACCTCACCCCCATCCATGTGTTGAGCAGTTTTTATGAGCTTTTCCCATTTCAGTACTTGTTCAGGGCTCTCCTTCACAGCCCGTACCAGCTCTATTATTCACATCTCCTTCACAAAAATCTGCTCGGCTCAAGCTGTAGGAGGCTTCTCTATGAAAATTAAATTATACACTTGAGTGTAATTGATGAAATGGATGTAATTTCAAGTTTGAAGTGACTCTGTATCACATAACTTCTCTGTCCTAAACTACCTCTCCTAGTCTTGCTAACTTCGATCCAAATACCCTCCACAGCACTGCATCACGTCATCATTTCTGCCTGCATCACACCCATTCAGTGGCTGTTTGTGCAGACCATGAATTTTTAAAGACGACTTCTAAGATCCTCTTATCCTAGCCTGACTTCGACTCATCTGCAGAATGTCTTCAGATATGAAATCTGTTTTCTGCCTGACTCAGACACAAACTAACTTTAAGTGACAGTTCATCAGGAAAGTATTTTATTATTTTATTATTTAATTACAGCCCTTCTCTCCTAAGTAGCTGCATTTCAAGCTGTGGTTTAGAAATATGTTTTTCTTCACTTGAAAATTATGCTTTTGGTCACATCTAAGGGTCACTGGCAAACGCCATTTATTACATCTTAACACAAAAACATTTCATTTCTAGTTGTCTCTCCTTAGCAGATGTCTGTACTGGAAAAAGGTTTTTGAAGTGTTATATTGATGCTGCAGTGCGCATTACTATTTAGCCAACTGAGCCAGAAATACAGGCCTATTTCACTAGCCATATTCCCAGATCGTAATTCAGCATCACCGTTATCCAGTGGCGATGCTTTGTTAAGCTCCCTCATTTCCAGCAGCTCCCGACTGCCTCCCTCCCAGCTCACTTGCAGGGCTGCACCGTAAACCAAGGCAGTGAAATGTTTCATGTCAAACTCAGAATCTCGCAACACGCTATTTATTTATCACACCTTTAAATCCAAACCACTAACTGACACAGGTCACCTGTGCTCAAAACCTTCCCTGCCACAAGTGCCAGGTCAGTGGAGGGAACCACTGATATGCTGAAACATCATAAATTAGAACCTGGGAGATGGAGCTATGCCCTTAATTATTTCCTCCTCATCCCTTCCTTCTTGCTTTATGTTACTGCTTCCATTTTGGTATAAATACTTCAACACCAAAAAAGAAGCCAAAAAAAGGTTGTCATCCTCCCCATCCCTCTTGAAATGTTCCACATGAAGCAAGTGCAAAGCCGAGCACATACCACACTACAGGCACTCTGCTGAAAGAGCTTCTACTAGGAATACTGACAGATACTGGATAACATCTTTTGGTCCCAAAGATACCAAGCTGCTTTGTTAATATTGTGCCAAAGGCCTGAGGGTCAAATTTGTTTAAATGTATACTGCACTAAAGAATATTTCCCAGTTATCTAGATTTATAAAAATAATATTAAATTAAAAAAAATCACAACTGATAAAATTGTTCTTTAACTGGTTTCACGTTCATTTTTGTTCAAAAACAACCAAAAAAAGGCATCATTTTTCCTTCTTCCCTCTTCCCTCCTCCAAACCATATCCTGAGATGGTGGGCTAGGTCCTGATTGCATTTATTCCCCTCTAAATCAAGATTTCACAGAGCTGTCTACAAGTTACTGAGCAGGTGATTAAGGTGTGAATTTCAGAGTATTTATCTTTTCTGCATCAGCTGCCTGCGGTCATTCCTAGACAGCAGCACAGTGTGCTTTTGTGTCAGCTCACTGTCAAAGTTGACCAAAACACGTGTTAAGAGCTCTGCAACCCGTCACAGTGTAACATGTTGCAAATTCACCCCCCAGCTTAGTTCGGTAGAGACCAGCCCCAAGAGCTGCCACTGTGCGTCTCTGCCATAAAACACCACTTCTGAACCCAGCACTTGTCAGATGCAAATCCCAACTGAGCCCAGTTTAGAAACCTCCCCTCTAGCTCTAATTACTCTAGATATGGTGGAAAAACATGTAATATGCATATGGCTTATGCACTGAAGTCTGAAGTAAGGTCTGGGAACCTAAAGCCTGCAGAGGCTTCATTTGACATGGAGCACAGAAGATTTCCCTTCCTTGTACTGGCATGTGCTAGCAGAGTGCCTGGGAAAAACACTGAAGTGGACTCTATCACCAACAGCAGTACAAAGCCTTCCCACCCTTGTTATAAAACTAATGTGGCCCACAGTAATGCTGAAGGGGAAATATTATTCATGGCAAGGTCCCCACAACAATAACACTGCAAATGATAGAGACTGAGTCTATCGTGGAAGCATCACAAAATCTACCAACAAACGTCAATATTGGTAACCTCAGCATCATAACTTTTTTCCCTCCCTCTCTGCACACATTGCTGCTTTTCCCTTTCTTTTCCCCACCTTTGCTATCTTTAACTCCTGTCAGTTTTCCCTTGTGCCTTAATACACCATTAAGAGAGTCATGGGATCCATTCAAATGGGGTACATATAAAAAGCTGTGGTAAGGCTGGGCCCTCACACTTGTAGAAAAGCGATAAAGACAAGAAGTTGGAATTGGCTGTCATAAATGGAGGCAGTTCTCACAGTACAACAGCAATCTTCAAGAAACTTTCCACTACACATATTGGAGATGCACTTTTTTTTACTGGCTACACATTCTATCAAAACTAATTTTCCTTCAAGCAAAGACACTGCTCCTCACTGAGCAATAATGTCAATGCTACTTCAAACATTTCACATTTCAGACATTTCTGGTGTCTTATGACTTAAACGTAAGAATTTTGAGACAGAAATGGGTAGAGTTTTTGCCCACACTTCCAAAGTCAAATTAATTCAATTTAATTTTGAATTTTTCCATCTTTAAAGGCAAGTGAACATTAAAGAGTCTCACAGATCACCCCTCTGCACTGTTTTTCAGGGTACATCTGTTCAATTTTTTTCTATGCTTTTGCTATCAAAAAACTTAATTGAAAGTAGGATTCATCTTACCTAACTTTAGAGACATGCAGGGGAAGTATCTACAGGGAGCTTGGCTCCCTTTGTAGTCCCTGAAGAGAAAAATCCACAAGGCAAGGTTCATCCCCTGTATTTTAGATGCTCACCTAGGGATGAAATGAATTGCACTTAAAGTATTGCTTCCTCTGCACTGACTACACTGTGCACTCTAGATGTGTATATTTGTTCAAATCCCATCTCCTTAAATATGCCGTTTTTCCTGGTCTGCTTACAACCTGTCCATTTACATTTCAAGGTTTTTGAAGCAATGACTGTTCTCTTTCATATATATGTGCAATAAACAGGACAACAGTATCATGACTGTGGCCTTTATTTGCTACCATAGTATGAAACATCAATAACAAAGATAATGCTAATGTGCTAAACAGATTATTAACTAGAGTCCATGGAAAGCCAATGGTTTAAATAAGAACTACATTATACTGAAAGCCTAGGTAAAAAAAAAAAAAAGAAAAAAAAAGAAAAAAAGATTTTTTGCAATCATTGCACACACCACAACTCTGAAAGGCCAGATATGGTGAGCAATCAAAAGGAAAGCTTTGTCTGGCTTACAAAGTCTCTCCTTGTTGTGGTTATGGACTCTGATCTGTTATAGCAGCAATAAATTTTGTTCATGGCCTTTAGCTTTTACAAAGAAGGTGAGAGAGGGACAACTATCATGTTGTCCCCAGTCCTTAATTAAAAAAAAAAGAAATAAAAAGAAGAAACAAAAAGGAAGTCTTTTAATGGAGGTGGGAACAAGTGGAGTTCATTTGTAGCCATCAAAGGCTTCTGATCCCCCTTTTTTCGAGGCCTGGCTACATTGCCTTTCCAGGTGAACCCCTCCTTTCCAAGCTTCAGAATATGCAGTGGAAGAGAGCCACCTCTCAGTCATGCCATATACCAATACTTCACAAGCTAGGTATGCCCCTTGATCTCAGGCACTACAGCTACTGAGCTGGGCAATACCATGAGGAAAAAAGGGAGATTCACTGAAATACAAGAGCTTTGGGGCAGGAAGGCTGTCCCTGGGGAACCAGGAACCAGACTACAAAACTTCTTCAAGCCGTCACAGGCAGAAAAGAAAGTAAAGCGGTACAAGTCAGACTGCTGCACTTGTGTATAAAAAAGTGCAGCTCTCGAGATTAACCTGGAATTTGTAAAATATAATCACAACAGTTCTTCAGACCACCAGGCACTGAAACTTCTGGTTTTAATATATTCTGTTCACTAAGTAAAGATATCCTTAATCAAATCGTGTACATCTCAACCCTGATGGCACCACCTGCACTTTCTTGTGTATAAAACTACAGATGCACAGTTTAAAACCCCACGGCACACAGCATGCACAGTTGTCACGTAAATATGACTTTATTTCACCTGTGTTCAGACTGACCTCTTCTCAGTCTAATAGCATGTTTTCAAAATAATATTACATTCCTTTGCAGGCTCTCTCTAATTCAATAACACCTTGTCAAATAAAACCAAAGTGGGTGATTTATGTAGTTGTTTAGATTCAGCATAATGACTTCAACCAAATTACCAGGCTACATGTAAAAGCCGATGTTACATAGAAGGGTTTCCTTTCACAAATGAATCAAACGCTGAAAACAATTTCAATAAAAACTTGCAAAGAAAAAAAAAGGGGGGGGGAATAGCAAAGTAAAGTAATTACCTATCTCCCTTTGGTTTTCTTTTTTGTACTGTCTTCCCTTTGGGTCGTCTTTCACTTCCTAAACAGGGGCTCCCACCAGGGCCTGTTACCCGTATTGATTCAAGGCCTTTGGAAGATTTCTTAAAAGTAAATTCCACTGGTTCTCCTTCTTTTAGGCTTCTAAATCCTTCCATGTAAAGCTTGCTCTGTAAATAGGAAAAATACTCTGTTACCATTGCCTTAAAAACAATATTCACATTCATAATCAACAGGACAACTTATTCTGTCAAATACATACAAGTTATTTAACAGTTTCTTCTGCATGAGTTATAGCAGACGATGCTACAAATTATAGTCCTGGATACACTGAAAACACTATTGAACACTAAACAAGTAACAAGAACCTATTTACAGTATCAACAAAACTGAAATAACGTTTTCCTTTCTGTGATGAATGCTGTAGATCCAAGAGGCAGAGACAATGCTGTGTTCCTGAAATCCCTAACAGGCATCAGGAACTAGAAAGGCCTTTTCAACAAAATGGAAAGCAAATGTTCAGAGCTAGTATTTTTATGATTAAAATTATCATAATTCATATTCCTTATATCTGTGACATGTCCCTGCTGCTCTGAAAATGAATCAAAGATACAATGAGCATAAGAAGCGGGAGGAAGGCACTCTGAAAAAGTCCACTGAAATGGGCAATTCAAATATCCCTAGTAAGCAGCTAAACTTCTGCTCAACACCCCAAAAATCTTATCTAGTTACTATGATTTAGGTATAGATTTGTATTTTCACTCACAGAAAAGGAAATTATTATTATCAGGGCAAGTATAAATACTGATAAATCTTTTGATATTACACTGTAATACCACTACCACTCATCAGCTGAAACAACAGGCTCTGCCGTGGGCCCATCCACAGCTCTTCAGTCTTCAGCAGCCACAAAGAAAATCTTGTTAAAAGGAAAGAACTCAACACTATGTATTTTGTCCCAGACTAAAACATACAGTTAAGTGTTCCAAAACTAGACAATCATGACAACACAGATGGGTGCTAATCCCAAAGGAACCTCAAGCAGATCAACATAAACCCTTATTTCTTAGTAATACTGAACATGACATGGATGCTTTTGTGTTTTTGTTTAATTACATCTTAATTGAAGCTATAGTTAAGTCTCAGCAAGACTTAGGCATTTTTCCTTTCCGAGTTTCATTGTTATAAAAAATGTCAAAAGGTTGACATCTGATAACATTATGTCTTCTACTTTACTTCAAAAGAATGTGTTTAAAATGCAACCCAAATCAGGATATTATTAGTGCTCTAAAATGTTATTATTCTCATTACACTTTTAGCAACAGAACTTTTTATTTCCAAACAAAGCACGATAATTACAAGAGGGATTTTTGTATATATTTAAGAGCCAAAGTAACAGAACAATTATGCTTTCATAAATCACATATTATGCAAGTGTACTTTTTTTTGCGTGCCTGTTTTTCCAAGCACTTATAACAGAAAAGGTTGAAAAAAAACCAGTCCAAATGACTTGCACAGTACTCTCCTTGAATACACCTCAACAGCTTTTCAATGTTATAGATGGATTTGGTGCTGTCTGACTTACTGTGTAAATGTACACTACCACGCTGTTAGCCAGCTCACAGCGAGATTCTTGGAGGGTGCAGTAACAATTCAAAGCCACAGAGAAAAAATGGCATTTGGAAACCAGCAAAACAAATCTAAAACCTGAATCCCTCTTAACTTGTAAGAGTTGGACAAAAAATGTCTGCAAAGTTGATAATTTAATGTTGAGAGACCTAGCTGAGTATTTACCTCACATTACTTACACAAATAAAACCCGCACAATTAAAAGCAGCCGGAGTTTCAAGTCACTGAACCATTTCTAGAGCCCTGAATGGGGTGTATCGGCACACGGCCAATGAACAAAGGGAAAAACTTAAAAGCAACATGCTTTTCCTCCTTTCTCTCTCAGCCGTCGAAGACTTTGCTGTTATTTTTACCACCAGTCAATACACTGATTTCAAGCTAGAGCTTTTTTCTTTTTCTTTTTTTTCAACTTGACAGTGCCATTTCTTTTTTTTTATAGGTATCCTGTTATTTCTTGGTATTTTACCTTATAACAAAGTCTCACACACCTCTGTTGCAAGCAACAGCTTGGTCCAAAATGCTGACAATTTCATAGGAGCATTACCAACAGCAAAAAAATAAAAGAGTGGAAAAATCCATGATCACAAGTTCTTGGAAAGCATTTCCTGCTACAAAACCAAAATGAAAACACAACATATAAACTGTACTAGCAGGACAGTCCCAAAGAAAAGTACCATTTCCTGGGCAGTGTCAAGGAGTGCTCACCACTCTCACCGGCTCCACAGAAAAAAGGAAGTTTGGAATTAAGGCTCACTACAGGGGCCCAATGGCCTCCAATACGTGAGCATTACTTTTATTAACGTGTGGGGAGGGAAAGGAGAACAGAGTCCCAGTAAGCACCCTCCTCACAACTTTGCCATCTCTAGCCAAAGCTGTTGCAGACATTAAATTCTTGAGGGGAAAGAGAAGTTATTTGGTGACATTCTGCTTAGATCGTTTGTTTTCTGTATCTCTCATTTCAGCCCCTTTTTATCTAGTGATTGATTGATTGCTCAGTACAATGACCAGATGCCACCAGTATGCTGGCTTTCCCAAAGTAAGAAAATGGTTTTCCCTCCAAAATGATCTACAATTAAATCCAGACATGAAGGAAACCATATCCTGAAGCCAAATCGCACTGAGGATTGTAAGACATTCTCTCCAAAACAACCTTGCACAGTTCCAACAAGAGCCAGCAACCTTTGCAGTAATGCAGGAGTACAGAGTAAAGGAACACAGAAGTAAAACAATTTACACTGGATCTATAGTAGTGCTCTTACCTGCACTGGGTCAAAACCAGACTCTAACTGCTGTACACTGCAAATGTTAGGGGAAGCGCTGCAAAATAATATCAGTTGCATGATACAGGTCCTGCTGCAAGGGCTTTTGCTGTCCACCAAAAGGTCATTTTAGGAAGTTTGCAGGCAGAATGCTACAACAAACAAAAAATTCACTACACTGAACAGCAGCCCCTCCGAGAGCAACGCGTACCTCTGCTGCGCTAACACAGAGCTCGAAGGCTGGGTGTCCACAGGACAACTCACCATTGCTCCCGCTGACCTCAAAGGCTTTTTCCTCCTCCTAGAGGCTTATCTTGCACCGAATCTGGCACTTCTTGGTCCTCCTGATAAGCCAATTTAACTCACTAATCTGACAGGAAACAAACTGAGTTTAATGAGGACGGGGGAGGATAAGAGGAAGAGGAAACAGGAATAGATTTTTGTTTTTCCAGTGAGCTAAATCTGTTCTCAGAGAGGTTCAACGAGCTCCAGGGCACATACAGTGGAAATGGCAACTTTGGAGATCAAAATGTGTTCCTTAATATTTTAAGTAAAAAAGAAAAATCTACAATATTACAAATATTTTTTTAAAGGTCAACATAATATAAATTAACTTTACCTTAAAAGTAAAGCTAAAACCCACTCTGGTGCTCAAAGATTTGCAATTCAGGCCTTAGGCAATGAAGAGCCATGTATGCTACACATACACAACGTTTAGTAGATAGGGTGAGCTACTGCAAGTACCTTTACAGTACGGAAATAATTGGTATATAGGCAGTTACTGCAATGCTGCTGGTACACGGCAATTTCACATCTCTATTTACTTGGAATCTGTTTCTGTCTTAAATTTCCACCTCAACCACAGACCTAACCAAATTAACCCAGTTCGTGTTTTGTCTTCATTTTCTAAACAACCAGATTTTCTAAAAGGTCAGCAATTCCTTCCAAGTTCAAAATAACACAACTTCTATTCTGAATTACTCTTTCAGTAAGAAAACTATTGACTGTCACACACAGAAATATCACATCATTATAGTATCATTTGTGCTTAAATATAGATCTGGCCTACCTATAATGTTACTATTCCTACTACAATATCTCTCTTATAATACTGTCATTACACTGTTGGTATATAAATCCTAAGCTAGTGGTCTACAACAGGTCTTTCATTTCTTTCCCTACCCTAAGTGATTTTGACCAGATTCTACTGTGTCCATGTGACTCTTTGTTTATTTACACGGTGCCACTTCGTTCATGAATTCATTCAGTAATTTTCTGCATCATTTTCAGCATTCGTGTTCAGGCCATGAATGCTATTTGACTGTGTTTCTGCTGCTTTTCTATCTGGTTACATCAGCTGTTCTAGTTTTGTGTATTAATGAAAAGAGCCTGGATAATAAACACCTCCTCCCTCCATGTGACTCTTTGTTTATTTACACGGTGCCACTTCGTTCATGAATTCATTCAGTAATTTTCTGCATCATTTTCAGCATTCGTGTTCAGGCCATGAATGCTATTTGACTGTGTTTCTGCTGCTTTTCTATCTGGTTACATCAGCTGTTCTAGTTTTGTGTATTAATGAAAAGAGCCTGGATAATAAACACCTCCTCCCTGGTAGTTACTATAGTAAGTATATTTTTGTCAGTGCACCTACACAACTAGTCATCTACTAGGTTTTTGCCCTTCCTCTGCTCCTTTGCATAGACCATTTGTGTGTGTTATTCCATGTGCAATTCTCATTTACCCAATTTTCTTTCCTCTGTGCTTTAATACCAGGCGTGAAAATTAAGCCAACCTCTTCTCTCAGTTAAAGTATTTTCTCAGTTAAAGTATTTTCTCATCAGTGATGCTGGGCACAAGATACAGTTTTAGGATTCAGTTCAGTCAATTCAAAGGGATGGTTCCTCTTCCCCCACCTCTGTCTCATGTTGACTCAGGAAGAAAACCGTTTACCTCTTCTTGGTAACATCAGGTTTTCTGCTATGTTTCTGCTCCCTGAATCAGTTTCAGGCAGAAAAAAACCACCAGCATACCTCAAAAGCAGCCACACGAGTGTGCAGCCATGGCAGGTAAGGCTGTCCTGTGCAGCACCATGCCAACTTACCACTCACATCGCCTCAGTGATCTCCTGAAACCATGCCATTACCAGTTTACAATACCCTCCGAAGTCCACCCACTGAGAAGCATCACCTCCTCTTGACAGTCTCCCAGTGGTCAAACATCTCCAAGCTCTTCACAAGCGCTCCCTTGCTACCAGCTGACCTTCGGGAGCCCCA